ACTAGGGCACATATTAAGGGAAAGAATATTGGAGGTGATAAGGGCAATTTATCTTCGATTGTATAGTCTGTTACTAATAATGTCATTGATGGGTTCCAAGCCCTGGATGAGAAAAGGAGAGGTTTGTGTTAGGTACTTGACAGCCAGCGTAAAACTTGTTGGACAATCATGAAATAGATGAGGATATTATTAGTAGAATTTAAGTTGAATAGTTGAAGTGAAGGAATGTATCAGGCATGCTGCTGATATATAAGAACCCCACAAAGTTAAGAGAAAAATTTATAAAATGGCAGTGAGACCTGTAATGCTTTATGTCGCAGAATGTTATCCATTAAAAGAGATGCATAAGATTAACTTACTTGTTACAGAAATGAGGATGCTCAAGTGGATAAGTGACTTTATACTTAGAGATAGAATGAGAAATGAGTATATAAATAAAAATATTAGAGTAGCTCTAATGGTAGATAAGACTAGAGAGTTGCCTTAGATGGTTTTTGCTCATAAAAGATTGGCCTTTCGATAAGAACAATAAATGTATTATATCCGACTTGTATTAAGAAAGGTAGATGTTGACCTAAAAAGTCTTGGTTAGAAAGTATTAAAAATGACATTTTTTTAATTAGATTTAAATTAGAATTTGACTCTTAATAGGACAAAATGGAAAAAAAAAAGATTCAACTAGTCGACCTAACGTAGTGGGATAAAGACTTGTTGCATGGTCTATTCGTAATTCCTATGACAAATCAAACTCCTGTTATTAAGATATTACTTGCTTTGGCTGGTTCAATTTTTTAGGATTCCACTCATCATGGAAGTGTTCTAACATGAGCAAGCTTAACTTTAGGGTTCTTAATAAAATATCAATATTACATCAAAATGCATATCAATATTTAAGAGTTCAAGTTCTCTCTAGATAAGGGGTTTTATGATCTCCCCATATTTAAGTAACTACTGCCCTTATCAGAGATATTGTACATCCCAAAGTCATCCATTAGACATATAAGGCTTGAGAGGTTGCCTCTATAGATCCAAGATATAGCTTCCACCATGCAGTACTTTGTCGCATATAAATTCTAGAGATGGATCTCATGTTGTAGCTTTTTAATCTTGTATGACACATAGCTATCATTTTATAATTGGGTTAGTGCTCTAATATAATTTGTAATAATCCATATTCTTATCCATCAAGATATTGTTCACTTTGGCCTAATCGTTCTCATGGTTTTGTCACCATCCTAGAATGAAAATGTTTTATTTTAGAGTTTCCAACAAAACTCCAACCATTAAAAATTACAACTAAAATATAAGATAACGTGGGACGATACATCCTTTGATTTTCAGCTCCTCGGATAGCCATGGACGGTTGGATGTCCGCATCACTATTCTTCATATTTTTTTAAAAATTGAATAATAACATTATTATTGTCAATACAATCTATAATTTCTTTTTTACTATAAGCGTTTAAATTATAGTTCATCCATTGATCTCTAATTCGATTGCGTAGTCAATTTTTTATGATAGCCATTGCAGAAAATGCTCTTTCAACTCCTGCTATTGCAACGAGTAGTATTAATACCAGTTTTAATAGCCTAAAAACAAGGGGATATAACATTTCTTTTCTGCTTTGAACCATTTTCTCAACAATACTTCTTATATCTTTTAACAAAGAAATTGAATATCAAACTGCATATCCATAATATAAGTTTCCAGCTGGTTGTCAATAATTACAAATTTGAAGTAATGAAATCGTTTGGATATAAGTTTTCCATTATAATTAACTTCACTTTGTTGAATGCATAGATCAAATTTGATGGATTGAAACAAACAATTCACAAAAGTAATTCAACATTAGTTTCTGTGGATCGATTATTCAACTCTTGAAGTTGCATATCAAGTACTGTGTAGCTTATATCAACTCGGTAATGATATAGATTTGTCATTTCTTGAAGTCCACGTCGTGGTCGTCCATGGGCAACCCACTTGTCATTTAGATTTGGAGTGATGATTTTCTGTTCAACACAAAATGAAGTCACCTTTTTAATGAAGTCATCTCACTTGTTATCTTTCATGTCTTGTAATCTAATTTTTATATTTGAACTAAAAACTTGACATTCATAATATCTTGAGCTTTTCTTTGCAAAGCTTTTGATAGTTCAACAGTGATTTTTAGTATGTCTTCATTAAGTGTAGACATAAAGAGAAGTCAAAAGATTATATGGAATCTAATAATGCAATTGCCTCTCCTCTCTATTTTGAGCTGATGCCATCATCCAAAACTATTTCAAGCACATTCATAATTGAGGAAAACATTGTAATTAATCTAATCAGTTACTCATAATGAGAACCCCATCTTGTATCACCAGTACGCCTTAAATATATTTCCTGATTTAATCCTGGTCTAGTGAAAACCTCACCGTTCTGTAATGCACTTAACGTCATCTCACGTTGTTTACCTCTAAGTTGATCACGACGTTTGCACGAGATACTAACAATATTCATCACGTTTGAAATTATAGTAAACAACAATGCAATCTGAACATGATTTTTCGCAACTGCTATTAAGGCTAACTGAAACTGGTGTAAGAAGTAGTGAATATAATGTTCAGATTTATTGTCATTTAGAAAAAGTGCTTTTTAGCACATTAAATTTTCCTCTCATATTGTTTGCTCCATCATACCCTTGACCACAAATTTTTGAGCGCGACAAACAATATTTTGAGAGGACTTGCTCAACTTCTTTGAGATTTCTAGCTGATGTTTTTGGAAGATGCACAATATCCAAAAACACGTTCAATAATTAGGCCTTTTTGATTCACATATCGTATAACAACATCTATTTGTTCTTTCCCAGATATATTGCGAGCTTCATTAACGAGAATATAGAAGAAAATATGACCAATTTCTTCTTGTAAGTAGTATGCAATTGCAATAGAAAAGGCTTGGCTAATATCTTTATGAATATCAGAGGTAGTTAATTTCAGATTCTCAGGAGCATTCTTTAGTACAATTTTATTTAAATATTCATTATGCTTTGCTAAAAATTGCAGTAGTTCAGGAAAAGTTTCTTGATTTTTTGAGTTGAAACTCTCATTATTCCCTTGAAAAGCTAATCATTGTCTTAGAAGGAGTTTCACACAATCATCAAAATAATTTAGGCGGTCACGATATGCATTTGTAACTCGGTCATACTGCATCTGCAAGACAAAGTTAATATGTTGATTTTGTATCATTAAATCCTCATAATTTAACCTTGTATTATTATGAGCACTATTAGGTTTTCCTATATGAAGATCAAATACATCAAGTTTTTTTCAATTCAAGAATCTATTTATGCAAAATGCCTTATCGTCTTCTTTTCCTCTTTCTTCTACCCCAAAAAGATAGCAATACAAACAATATACTTTATCTTTCTGAATACTATACTCTAACCAATTGGAGCATTTATCAAACCATCTCGGATTGAAACATCTATTTTTGATCCCAAATTTACTTTTAGGGAAGTCATGATTGCGGGACTGACAAGGTCCTTTTTGCAAATATGATCTTCGAATTTGATCACAAATTTTAAAACTAAATTCAGAAATAGGTATACGCAATCCAAGATCTGATTGAAGTTTCTCTAGATATGTTCCTTGCTTTTCGATGATTGACCATTTGTTCTATTTCTTTTTTTATTTTGTTCATCATCATTATTTCGTGAATCATCTATTGGTGTTGATACACAAGACTGTGTTGCATTCTTAAAATATTTTTCCATAATATTTGTGTAAAGTCAAACTACCTAAAACTTGTAGAACTCATTTGAAGTATGAAGACAATTATGCCATTAAAAAAAAAATTCAAAATCCTTAACTTAATTAAAAAAAACATTTCTGCTAAATATTTTGATGAATAAATTGTCCAACATAATGATGATATGCAAAGTAATTGATGTCTTATATTTCTCATCCTAATTATTTTGTAAGAAGTTAAGAATTGTAATAAAATTTTCTCCAGTACCTAAAAGAAAAACTTGCAAACCAGTTGTCAGCGATGAGTGAACTCATAGCAAGAGCTAGGGTGCAGGAATGCATGATGATTCCTCGCAGTCCTAAATACTTGAAAAGATAAAAAGCACTTTAGTTATCTTGGCTTTCTTCAAGAGCAAACAAAAGAAAGAACCCTACTGTTGCTTTAGAGGCATTTTTTGTTTGTGTGACTGGGGATTGCACAACAATGGTGGCTAGCGAATACAAATTGTGGCTGAGCACGAGCAATGTAAATTAGCAAACAAATTTTTTTTATAACCTATACATACAACTCAAGGCAAAAAACAGAGACTTAAAAATTGAAAACAGAATAGGAAATCCAAATGCTGGATCTTACCTTCAGGGCTTCAAGGACGGACTGCTCACTGCCGGATCGAAGAAGGAAGAAGGGAACAAATGCACGGGTACGAGCTGCCGGCCGACTCACCGTTTCAAGACCCTCGTGCGCGAAATTTGAAAGCTCTCACTGCTGGCTGGACGCACTGGTGGAAACCGAAGGAAGAAGGGATGAGACGAGATCTTCTGTGCCGCGCTAGAGCTTCTGAGACAGAAGTATTATGGAAAGCGAATGTTGAACTGCCCAGAACGCCGAACCGTGAGCGGGCATATATGATTTATTTTTTGTTTAGCGGAGGGGCACGTGCCCTGCGGGACCCCGCCTCCCTCCACTATTGTTTGCACGGTTAGAAACTTGGTTTCTACTGAATTAATTTTTAAAACCAATTTTATGCCACCTCTAAACACTTAAAGCAATCATAAAAGCTTTGCTCTATCTGAAATTCAGAATATAAGTGGTTGTCAATATTTAGACAATTAAAAGAGCATTTTTTATTGATTGCTTTCCATGAAAATTTTATTTTCACTATCTATTTGACCCTTTATTTTCTGCATTATAAACGTTACTGTTTTCTAACTAGTGAAAGACAAGGCTTCTATTATCTTGCTGTTTCATAGTAATATTTGTTTCTTAGGCCTCAAACATATTGGAACTGTGCTGCAAATCAATATGGAAGCACGTCAAGCTCCTATGCCAGCCAAATTTGTTAAATTCTAAATGCATTCTAGAGTATGGTGCATCCAGAGATTTGATAAAAAATGTCATTAGGGATGCATTCATTAAATGTGCCAGAATAATAGATGTTTTGCGCAAGCTTGGTGCCGCCAATGTTCGTGAAGTTATAATTAAAAATATGTTTGAACTCTCTTCTGTGGAAGCCTCATTCCCAAATTTGTCCCTCTTTTTTCCCTTGGTGAAACAGTGGGTAAAGGTATTCCTTAACATTCATAGTTGGTTTTTTATATCAATCAGATTGATCTAGCTTGCCCAATGGTTTTCAACTTCAGATGCTGTGTAAAGAATTTAGTGATGTCAATGAAGTGGATGGTGCTCCATTTCTTTATTCATTATTGCTTTGCGATTGTCCAACATGGCCAAAGAATATTCTGGGGGAGATTCTTGAGCAGGTATGGTCTCACAGAACTCTTGTAATGACATGAGATTTTCACTTCTTAGGTGAATATTCTACACTCTCTAATAATATACTGGATTCACAGGAACTTCTAGCATACGATCAACTAGAAGCATGGAACCCTTCACTTTGTCATAAAATGGAGATTAAAGTTATTGATAGTCTCTTGATGGATGTATTTATTGCTAGAGAGTTCAACCTGCAGAGAGCAAGGGTTCTTGTAAGGAAGGGTTTAGTTCTTAGAACTCGTGGGATAGACAATTTAAGCAGCTGCTTTGACTGTCTCAGTGAAGCTATTTCTCTTCTGGTGCTTTTCTCCCGTTCTTATTTTTATGCTCATGTTAGCGTACCATGCCTATTTTTTGTGTTTTAATTGGAGCTGAACGTTTAAAGTGCAACTTTTACGTGATAGGAGAATGTACCTTACGATTCGTCTGAAGCAAAGACTCTAGGATGCCATCAGTTGGCCTCTGCATACTTCCTGCGAGCACAATTTGCTCAAGAGACTAAACAGGACTGGGAGGTAGCATTTTTAAAAAAAAAATTGAGATCATCTTCAATTTGAAACGGGTTGATATGCTTAATTCTATGTTATAACATTGATGTTTACTTTATGAATTTGATTAATGTTGTAATTCTTTCAGTTAATTCAGTGTGATATACAATGTGCAATTAATTTACTGTCTAAACTTGACGTCGAGGCTTATCATACTTTGAGCGGGTACCTTAAACCAAGTGTAAAAAGTACAATATCCATATTGTGCCACACTATTGATCTGCTGTCTTTGAAGGTCTGAATGTTCAAACAAAGCAAATTTTCTGCAGAGCCTTCTGTTTGGTTTTGTCGTCTAATTATTTTTATTATCATGCAGGGCTTCTTAAAGTTTCACTTTGATATGCATAAGCTAATCGACATCTTTTGCAAGTTTGAAAATTTCTCAGTGGAGGAATGCTTGGCTATGCTATGGACTGGCAGAAGGCTTGGCCATTCTTTATGTACTTCTCCAATTCACCCAGATTTGCTTTCAAGGATTTCACAGCTTCCTGATAACAATCTCAACTCTATGGCTTTCTGGACAAAATCTTTGAAGAGTTCTTCATACTCTTTATTAATGTTTCTCCAAAGCTTTTTGCTTCCTGATTCTATTTTGAATGAAGAAAACTTTCAAAAAATTGAAGGACTTTGTAGCTGTAAACTTACTGTAGAGGACGTTAAGATGGTTGCATCATCCCTTCTCTTAAATGTTAGTTCCTTAGCTAAACATAAAAGCCTATGATGTCCTTTATCCTTCTGAATAACTTGTAGACCTTTCCTTGTAATCTTTGATGTTCTTTTGGTTTCAGGTTCCCGCAAAGAATGAAATGTACTTTTTTGCTGGACAGATATATTACGATTTGGCTGAAAGGCTTTTGGCAAGTGGAAGAGTATTTGAGGTAAGCAATCTTTACAAACAAAATTTGCAATACTTTTGGAACAAGATAATTTTTAGTTAAATTAGGTTACATTCCAATCTCCATCTGCCCGCATTCACCACTATTGACATCTAATGAATTTTTCCTAGCACTTATTAATTATGTATTGCCACTCCAAGCTGTAGCATGATTGTTCTCAATTGTTTCATAATGTACATTTTTTCTAAAAATAACTTGGTCAAATTTGTCATCTCTAACAGTAAAATAATTTGTGTAGTAGGGACTTTCATATGCTAAAGAAGCTCTAAATCTACGATATAAAGTCTTACGAAAAAAGTTTAATGTGTCCAACAAGAAACCCGTAGAGCATGCAGAATCTTCAACAACTAATGTTGAACTGGACCATCTTTGTCTTGAGCTGCTTGGATCAGCTATCAATGAGGTTTGGCGAGACACCATTAACCTAGAAAGATGCACTCTTGGTCCTTGGATCATTCTGAATAGCTATCTTGAAAGTATTTTGCAGGTCTGTTACTCATTAGCAATTTTTAATTATCATTGAAAATATCTGTATAGATTTCATGTTTTGTTATTCAGGTTGGGATTTTTCATGAAGCAACAGGAGATGGGCTTCAGGCAGAAATACTTTTCCTTACAGGAAAAAGATTTTCCATTTTACAGTATTTGCCAAATTTTCAGATTGCTTTCAATTGTGCTCTAGGTATTTGCTAGGCATTCTCCACTTTATTTCCTTGTTTGAAATCCAAAGAAACCTTGATTGTTTTGACCACAAAAATTTTCTGTTCTCATTCTTCAGGTCAAGTATACCGTAAGAAGCTGTTCTGGGATTTAGCAGAAGATGAATTAAACATTGCTAGAAAGCTTTTACAGGAAAATGACACCATGATTTCGTGCAAGCATTGCAAGTTAACTCTTGAAGTTACAATTGATATGCTATTTGGAGATTTATCTATGAAACGCTCGAATAAAGGTTCCCATGTCCAGTCTCATGCTCTTGATCTCTATAGAGCAGCTTTTAGAAAACTGTGCAAGGATATGGTGGAAAGCTCTCTTATTGCTCCCTGGAAACAAGAGAGTATTGGTGAATCCTTTAGCACATGCCACCTTGAAGGCACCAAACATAGGGTCATAAACAATAGTAAATCATATCCATCGGAGAATAACAAAAAGTTACCTTCTTGTAACATTTGTTCTTTTTTAGAATGCCGTTTTGATGCTCATAATATTGAGCAACTGAGTTCAGCCAGAGAAACTGCACTGCCACTTTGCGCAGAATGTGGGGAATCAAATGTTCAAACGACAATCAAGAAAAATTCTAGAAATGGATCAAAGCAACTTTCAAAGACAATCAGTCATGATACTGAATTGAAGCCTAGGAGAAGTTCAAGGAATCGGTCTTTCCATAACAAACAGATTATCTCTGCACAAAATGAAATTTATAGCAGTGTTCCTTATCGTGCTTTTGATGCTGACATATTTAGTTGCAGAACCTCACAAATTAAAGAGAATGGTACTTGTTCATTTGATTTTGGTTGCTGCGATGGAGGTGTTTGCCGAAGAATGGAATGTTTGAGATGCCTTTGCCTCAAGGTGATAAAAGAGGGAACCATGCAGAATATCATATATTTTAAATGGCAATGTCAGCAAAGGCGTCTTTTATCAAAGCTTTTAGTGAAAATGGGTAATGAACTTTTCTCCTGAAAATGCATTGGCAAAATAGGCTGTTTATTCTAGCGCATATTTTTCTAACTGTTCTAGTTGTTTGTTATCCTCTTACCATTTTTAGCAAAATCTTTGGAGGTACCTGGTGAAAAGCAGGAACCACATGAAGTACATGGTGTATTTTGGCAATGCATCTCTGTGCTGTTTGATGGAAAGCCTTGCTTTGATACTAATTCACATTATTATGATTTAAGTTTATTCAAATTAATGGGGGACAACAATATTGGGGATCTTTTTTCTGTTGAACGTGCTGCTTTACTGTACACTATGAGTTGGGTCTTTTTGAAGGATATTAATCCAGAGCACATGAGGTGATTATTCAAGTTGCTTCATGTTCTGTTTGCTACATATCAGGTAATTGTGCCTTTGTTATTTAGGAAGCTTATTTTTCAGAACTTCTGTTTTCCAGCACCAAATGTTGTTCGCTCTCCAAGGTTCAGATGCAAGACATCATTTCATGGTTATTAAGAGCCTTCATACTCTGCCGAGAGATGCCTACACTTTTTCAAAAGGTTATTGGAACTATAGTGATATCATTGTTAATTTTGGAAAAATAATCTTTTTCTCAGCCAAGTCCTATATCTCTCCATAGGGTTGTCTGTTTTTTTTTTTTGCATTTTTGAATGAATAACATTGAATTCATTTCATCTAGCACAGGTATCTCGACTCATTGCATCACTGATTTTACTATCAACAGTAGACGGTTCCATTCCTCCGCCTCTTTGCTCGAAGGAGTCACTTTCCTTAAGCCATTGGGCTGCATTTTTTCATCAAGCTTCTATTGGTTCCGTTGTGAACTATCAATATCTCTCTTTTGTTAGAGATAAGGCATGCAGCTTCAAGGCCGGTAAGGTGTGTAATTAACAATGGGCTCATTTTTCCATTGGAAATCCTAAATCACCAACTTGCCATTTAATCAAATGTTTGCTTATTTTGGACATTTATCAAGTTATGCTTGTTTCTAATAGAAGATGATTGGTAGATGTATATATAATTTATTACATTTTATATTTTCTTATTCTTCTGATTCATTCTGTTTCAGTTTAAGTCATATGTAGGAGACAAATCTAGTTTGTTTAGATTGCGAAAGTAGTAGATTATGTGAAATGATGAAAATAGGTTGAAATATGCACTTCTATATGATTTTTTATAAATGCCATGTCCGGAAGGAAAATGAGGTTACTGGAAATAGAATTGAGTTAATTCTATCTTTTTTTCTGTAATCCTGACCATTTCCTAGTGGCCTTTTTGCTTAATGTCTTTAGTTCCTTTTACATTGAGGTTTGAGGTATGAAGAAGAGAAAAGGGTAATCAAATTGACATAAAGGCTTGGGATCTAAGTGGCTGTGTGGAACTGAAATGGAAAGAGTTGAACCCTATCATGACCCAGCCCGGATACTTGAATTAACTAGGATGAAACAGTCAGTCGGATAGTTAATACACTTTTTACAATTACACATAATAGTAAAATCTAATATTTCTCAAACATTGAAGATCCATTAACACCACTTGTACGTTTGAATTTAAACACATATTACGTGCTTTCGTTAGATCGCCGTCTTTTTTAATGTGTTCCTCTCTCTTTTAGCCATTTCTACTTATCAGAAGACTTACCTGAAAGATATAGTATTACAATTTGAGTTTACATAGTAAACTCAGTGCATAATCACCATTTCATATACAACAATTAAGCAAATAATTTAAAACATGTATGTTTTTTGACCTTTTTTACATAGTTAACATATGCATAATCTTTTATATACTGTAGATCTTTATAACTTATTATTCACATAACTTTATTTCTTATTTTGTTTCATTTGTCCATTTCCATTTAACATTTATTCATTTTTCATTTTAATTTGTACATGAGCACCGTCTAAATGTACCAATAAAGGTACAACAATTTTTATTTCCTTTTTCATTTCCATTTAATCTGCATGGATATGTTGCTACTCCATTCAGTATCATACGAGGATGAACTCCTATAATTTGCATGTATGAATCTTTCTCTTCTTTTAATACTTTCATTTTCATATAAATTATTATTCATATCAATAATTCATTCATTTTCAAGTTGTTGCACATGTGACATTTAACTATATTATTTATACTACTAATTCATATTTTCTATTCTACAATAATTCCAAACAATGATAATTCACATTTTTATTTCCATTATTCTCTCCATTAATTCATATAATATGCAATAATAATAATACTAAAAAGTGAATTATAATAACATAAATAAAAATTGAAATTAAATAAATAATTACATTATAATTACCCACTTGATTACTGTCAGATCTTTCCAATCTTCAATTTGTTAAATTAATTCTCCAATACTTATCTTATCTCAGCTATGAAAATCTCACTGTTCCAAATAACATTAAATTTCATTAATTATCACTGAATAGTTTATCAATTCAAAGCTACAATGAATTTGATTTGACTAACATCCTTAAGAGTAACGTTCATCTATTATTACAAAATGTCGAAGCTTTTAACTTTCGATATCTTGAACATAATTCACAATCTAATTATCTGATAATCAAAATTATTGCCTCAACTAATGATTCCTTTCTTCCGTTTTGAAATCGTCCTCTTAGAAATTTAGATTCACCACCAAATTTTCTCTCTTTCTATTTGACAATCACATATTATTTCATCAATTAGAGAAATGTAAAATAATAATTGTGAATGCAAAATAATAATTTAATTCAAAAATTTATGCTTACCTTTTTGACAAAATTTTGGGTATTATAGAAGGTACTACTTTCTCTTTTGATTATAATCATTAAAAAACTTTTGCAGATTGTGTTTAATGGCTTCAAACTTAGCATTCATAATATGTGAAGATCCTTACAGTATGGTTCAAAGTCATTTGTAAGAGGCTTATCCCATCTATTTAGTTTTACCTTAAATACGCCCTGATTATTGTGTAGTCCTGTTTAGAATACTTTACATAGAATACTGGTTTTACGCTTATTTTGGACTGTCTGACTATATTTCACTTTTTTTCTCTCCTTAGGATATAGTGTTTAATGGCTTCAAACTTAGCATTCATGATATGTTAAGGCCTTATAGTATGATTCAACATCATTTGTAAGAGGCTTATCCCTTCTATTTTTGTTTACCTTGAGTGTGCCTTGATTGTTGTGCAGTCCTGGTTAGAATACTTTACATAGAGTCATCATGATTTTATCTTATTTTTTATTGTATGTCTGAAGTTACCTATTAATCTCTCAATAGGACATAAAATAACATTTCATTGAATACTTACCATCATAGAATAAACATGACTTAACTATTTTTATTCCATATTAAACAAATAAAGTGCCTGGGAAGAATTACATTTAGGATACTATTAATCGCATCCTTACAAAAGAGTTTTAGATATTTCCAATTAGTAGAATGGAATATTTACAATTTCATTTGAGTTGTTTGAAATACGCATAAAATTTTTTAGTATGCATACATAACAAGAGAATCAAATTGGACTAATTGGATGTGTTGAGTGACCGAATCTCATTTGAATGAGGGATTGAGGGGAAGTTGTGGACATATTACTCACTTTAATGGATGAAGAGGTTTAAGTTTTGAATGAAATTATGAGCATAATCCTTAAAGAATTTGGTGTGATTTCAAGCTAACTATACTCTGTTGTGATGTATTTTTGTTGTAGGTAGAACTTCAAAGTAATTGTATAGTATTTTCGACCACATTTATTACTCTATTGTTATCCAAAAGAATCATCTCTCTGGCTCCCTCTTGATCTATATTTCTTCTTCTTCATCATCATTAGCCTAATCCTAATTATTTGTGGTTGGCTTTATTAATCCCCTTTCTCTATTTGTTTATTCTTAATGTTGCATAAGGTGTTAGGCTTATTTTGTGTAATTTTTATGCCTAATTTCCATCAAGTTATTTAACATATTGTCCTATCTTTCATCTTTTTCATTCTAGATTGATTTTTTTTTTGGCAGGAATTTAATTTTCTTAATTTAGCATTTTTTTCCTTTTTCTTTTTAGGGCATGGAAAGCGAGAATGTGTTGGAAACAGATATGAATGTAAATTACATCTCAAGGTTTGATGTGCTTAAATTACCTCTCATAATTTCATATTATTAGGATCTATTTGAATCTTAACGACTTCCATTTTGCTGATTTTATTCCAGATTTACCCCAGAAAAACTTGAAAAACTTGGAGAGTTTGTCGAGGACTTTTTCCATGGCCTACCTAGAATTTCAATTCTTTGTATTAGCTTGCTTGATGGTGATTATGTAAACCTGCTCGGGGAAGTGTTGATTCTCCCTTCTTTCTTTCCGGCATGGTTGCTTATCTCACGATTTGATGCAAACAGGCAACCGATTGTCATGTTCTTGCCTGTAAACTCAATTTCAGAAGGTACTGTATTTAGTGAGCACTGAATGAAACGGTACAAATGTTACGCCCCTTGCAAAAAAATGCTAATAAGTTCATGTGTGATTGGTGTCAGGTTATCTGCCCAATTCTAATTTACGCAAGGAGTTCATACTTGAAAATCAGGACTTGGTATCAGATTGGCCTTGCCCTTGGAGTTGTGCTGTAATTGATGACGTGGCTCCCTCTTACCGTTTCATTTTGGAAGCAAATTTTTCATCTCTATCTAACCAAGTTCTTAGTGAAGCTGAGGCCCGCCTTAACTACAACAAGTGGTGGTCTCGTAGAACGACTCTTGATAATGAACTAAACAATTTATTGAAGTATGCTTGAGCAGCTGACGGCTTTCAATACTTAATTTGTTTATGTATATTTGTATTCAAGCTTTAACTTGATGCGCACATTGTTTTTATTGGCTTTTGGCTTCTTTTTCTTTTGTTTTGATGCAGAACAATGGAAGATGAATGGATTGGACCATGGGGGTGCTTGCTTTTGGGTGAGAGATTGGATGCCGAATCTCTGGAAAAGCTTGCTGCAAGAATGTCCAATTGTCTGAATTCACAATGTGATTTTATGGTAAATGATAATCTCATCAAAGTTATTCTGAACGGTGCTCAGTCTGTATTTGCCGCAGAAGCTTGCATTGCTCAGTCGCTATTGTATAAAGGATTCTTTGGTAGGGGAGGATGTTGTGGAGAGCAAAGGTTCAGGGCATTTTCTGACCATAGTAAAGGAGTTAAGTGCATGCTCACCTCCATTCACAATTTAATATTAGAAGCTGTAGATGAAGGCATGACAGTTGATAGGCAACCAATTATCCTCATCTTAGATACTGATGTGCAGGTAATCATTATCTCATTTGTTAGTGACAAAGAATCACGGATCCATTTGTTCAGTAGTTTGCAGCCTAGCATCATTAAAATATGACTTCTTATGTCTATGATGCACAGACATGAACAAGACAATGTAGATATGACACGGAAATGAGACATGTCAATTATTGAAATATAGGACACTGACATGAGTTGGACATGATATTATAATTTTTATATCTTAAAAATAATATATTGAAATTGAATTAGTTAAGAATAATTGAAAAATAACAAGTCATTCTATTAGAATCTACATTTAAATTGATTAATATTAAGATGTTTATAGTCGGGCGTGGATGTCGTGTTAGGCTTCGAGAGGGGATACGACAATGCTGTCAAGAGTTGGGCATCAATGTTTTGTATTGGACATCGTGCATCAATGTCAAGACTATGACCTAGATGTCGAGATGTCGGTAGTCGATGGTGAGATGTCGTCGGGCAAAGCTGAGGTGTTGAGATGGTGCAGGGTGTGATTATGGGTGTAGAAATTACTTTCGTCGAACACCAATGTCAAGCTAGCATCAGACTTCAATGTTGTGATGGTTTAAAACATTAATGTGACAACCTCAAACGTCGATATTGGGAGTACATTGTGTGTTGTTGTGAAACCCAATCATAATAATCTAGAGAGAAAAGAAAATGAGCATGATTTGGAATTGGGTAATAAGTACATACGATTAATTTTGAGTTATGGAGGAAATAAAAAATTAGTTTTTATTTTTTTAATAAATAAAAATTTGAAGTATAAGAAATTATATTTAAAAAAAAAAACTTCGTAAAATATTTGAGATACATGTGTTCAATTTATTTTTAATATTTTTTAGTTGGGCACATAATTGGTGTGTCTGATACATGTTGTACGTTGCATACTTCTTTGAGGGGAAGTGTCTGTGCATCATAGGCTTATGGTTACATTTTCAGTTAAATGTTTGTATGAACCAAGATTTTGTAATCCTCTTCATCATTAAATCAAGTTTGACTGGTTTGGTATTTTTTTGCATTTTCTTATAAATTCATGCTAACCTTACCCAATATTTGAATAGCCTTCACTATAAATGTCAAGCATGAATTATTTAAGAATAAATTAGGTTGTGAACTCAATAGCTAGCCTAAGACATGCTTGATACTTGTATTCTCTGTGGTTTTAATCTAGCTCGACGGTTTTACTTCATGGCTGCAGATGCTCTCTTGGGAGAACATGCCAATCTTGAAAAATCAGGAGGTTTATCGCATGCCTTCGTTGGGCAGCATCTTGTTAAAACTGAATCAACATTGCAGTGAAAAGAAAAACACATTCGAAGTTAACCTTCCATATATTGACCCTTTTCGTGCATACTACTTGCTTAATCCAAGCGGCGACCTCAGTTATACACAACAGCAATTCGAAGAATGGTTTCGAAATCATAAATGGGAGGTAGGTTGAAGTTATTTGATTTCTTTTGCTGTTTCAATGTTTCCATGCTATCATTTGCTTTTTGTTGTTACACAGGGCAAAGCAGGATATGTTCCAGCAATTGAGGAATTGATATTAGCTTTACAGAATCATGATCTGTACTTGTATTTCGGCCATGGGAGTGGTATGTTGGTCTCAATCCCATTATTATTTCATATGGGTGATCAAGTCATTAATAAGTTTACATGTTTTAGATATCTTGGGTCTATTGTTCAGAGTGATGGTGAAATAGATGGGGATATTATTAGTAGAATTCAAGTTGGATGGTTGAAGTGGATGAATGCATCGGGCTTGTTGTGTGATAGAAAAGTCCCCCCTCAAACTTAAGGGAAAATTTTATGAGATGGTGGTTAGACCTGCAATGCCTTATGGTGCAGAATATTGGCCATTAAAAGTGAAGCATAGTATTAAGTTAAGTGTTGCAGAGATGAGGATGCTTAGGTGGATGAGTGGCTTTACTCTTAGAGACAGGTTATGAAATGAGCATATACGTGAAAAGGTTGGAGTAGCTCTAGTGGAATATAAGATTAGAGAGAGTCTCCTTAGATGGTTTGGTTACATAAAACAGTGGTCTTCTGATGACCCGGTTAGGGAAGTAGATGCATTAGATTTGACTTATGTTAAGAAGGGTAGAGGTAGACCTAAAAAGTCTTGGTTATAAAATATTAGAAATGACATTCTTTATTAGATTTAAATAGGAATTTAACTTTTAACATGACACAATGGAGAAAAAGTATTCATGTTGCCGACCCCACATAGTGGGATAAAGGCTTGTTGTTGTTGTTGTTGTATGGTGCTTCTATAAGACATTTTCTTTTCTTCTTCCACAGGAATGCAGTATATACGCGCCGATTCATTTGGAAAACTGAATCGCTGTGCGGCGGCTTTTCTTATGGGTTGTAGCAGTGGATCTCTGAGACAGAGAGGGAGCTATGCACCCCAAGGCGCTCCTCTTTACTACTTATATGCAGGCTCCCCAACTATCATTGCAAATCTATGGGAGGTTTCAGATAAGGATATCGACCGATTTGCGAAGGCCATACTAAGCTCATGGACACAGGATTCCATTCTTCTAGATAGTTGCAACAAATGCGGTCAGCTGGCAGAAGATCCTAATGAGGAAAAGGCTATCTTGCCGTCGAGAAGAAAAGCTTCAAAAGTCACAGAGAGTGTTCAGAAGGAGAAGTGCAGGTACTGTGAAGCCAAATTGAGAGTCGCATCATTTATTAGTCAAGCGAGGGGAGCTTGTAGACTTCCTACTATAATAGGCGCATCTGTTGTTTGTTACGGCGTGCCCACCATATTAAAGAGGAAACAATAGGAATTGTTAATAGTGAATTAGTAGTTCAGTTGCCTACCATATTAAAGAGGCCCATCAATCTTCAAATTGTTGAAGAAGAGTTATTGGTGTTGTATTAATTTGAGATATGCTTATTTAGAATGTAGGCAACAATTTCCACTGTTATTAAATGTGGCAGATGGCTTCATAAAAGAGAACACACTTTGTATTAAACTTCAAATTTTGCTTTATGGCAGAGAGTAATTGGGTTTATGTGCTCTCTCTCTCTCTCTCTCTCTCTAGCTTGGTGCAATAGAAAAATCATAATGGTTTAATTAGTGCCTTATTGAATTTGCTAATGATTAAATTGGTGCCAAATGCATCATTTGAAACGTAGAAACCATTGATTGGACCTAAATTCAAGTTAGTTTAATAATAGGACCATTGCTAGCCAAATTAGCTGAAGTCCTACTTTAGGTTTAAGTAGGAATATCTCAAGTTATCATAGCCTAATGGATAACAACTGATAAACCCCTTAGGTCAACTCTTAACTAGGCTTAGCCGCGCATAATCAAACTATGAGCATTAGGCTGGTTAGACTTGAACCCTAGTTTCATATTTGGTTGACAGCCTATAACTAATTTAGGGTCATCAATGAGGTGTTGAGATAGGCGTAAGAAGGGTAACAAGAAAGTCATTGGGTGGCAATGAGAATTTCATTGGCTATGTAATAGTCGAGTTAGTTGATTCAAAGGAATTGAAGTGTCAATTTTGTCACATATAGAGGCGCGAGAAGGCAAGTGATTGAAGGATTTGAGAAAGGAATTAGGAATGAGAGAATATGGGTAAGTGTGCAGAGAGAAAGATGGAGGTCGAGTGAGAACAAAGAAAAGAGATGAGAGTGAAATAGAGAGGGAGAGGAAAGTGGGAGAGAGAGTGAGAGTCTTGGCATTTGTAACTAGCGAGTGCATGTGTGAGCATGAGGTTAATCATGTGGCTAACAAGCAAAGCAATTAGATGACTAGGATAGAGAATAAAGCCATCCGAACAGATCATTGAGAAGGAGATTGAGCGGGGTTTCTTCATAGACTCAATTTCAGATAAGATGAATCTAACCTAAATTTTATTGTTGATCAAATTTATACACTCGTTATTTAGTTTTAAAATATTAAGAGAATTTTATTAAGAATTTGGAGTGGAAGAAAAGTGTTAATCAAGTGGAAAAAGTGGTAAGATTATTCTTGCAATGAAGAAGGAAAATTGATGTATGATTATAATAAGAAAATCTTTCGAATTTATTTTGATGCAAAGTTTGTCTTTTTTTTAGAAATTATAAAGTATTAGACTTTGTTTGGGATAATTTTCTTATTGTTTTTTAAAATAGCTTTTTAGCAAAAAAAATTTTGGAATTATAAATTTATGTACTTGAATGCAATTAGAAAGTTGTCTCAAATGAAACCTTAATTTGAAAAATTAATTGTACTTTTTGAATGAAATGTAAAATATAATAATTTTAGAATGACGATGTATTCATAATTTAAATATAATGTTATGTTATAAGTAAATTTGAAATTAAAAATTTAAGGATTTATTTATAATTTTAGATTAAAATATTAAATTATAAATTGCAAGTATTTATTTAAATAAAATTAAAATGATTAAAAAATGAATTCCTTTAGTTGCATAATTTATTTTAATGATGTAACAATTGCTAGATAAAATGCATTTTATTGCAACCAAATGCATTATAATAAAAGAAACGATTTAGGAAAAAAAATAGAATGTCTCTGATTTTAAACCGTCCAAATATTTAGATGGTGCTCGTAAGATGAGTGTCTTGTTAAAAATATATGATATGATAAATTTCTTGAAAAATGTCATATTTTACAAAATGATAAATCCTTTACCTCTATCTAAATTGATTATAGTTATGTTAGTTTATTCTTTTTAAAATGAAATATTAATAATTACTTGTTTATTTTTAGGAAAGGTCCCTCTAAATCTAAATGAAATGGGTAAGAGAGAATGATTTGTGAGCAAAAAAAGAGCAAGTGAAAATAATAATAATTTCAAGAGCATATATATTTTGTTTGGTTAATTTATTTTAGATATATGAAATAGAAATGATTTATTTATGGTTTGAACATGAATATAATTTTATTATTTAATGGCTCTTTATAGTTTATGAGATGTTAATGTTGGATTATTTATAATGTTTGTATAAATCAATACAAAAGAATTAACAACCATCTAATCTATTCCCACCTTGACATTTCATGTTTTTGTGTTGGATCATAATAAAAGTGGCATCAGAGCAAAGATTATTTATGAAAATATAAATCATAGTGAAAAGCTATTAGGATGATCAATTATATTTAGGAGAGTTAGTTCAATTTAACTTTAAATTTTAATATATTAAGTGATATGATTTTACATATCTCAAAGTATAGAGATTGCAATGATATCTGAAGTTTAGAGAAACTATTCATGTAGAGTCAAGTGTGAAGTTTTTAATGATCATCAAATTCTGGATTAAAATTATCAATAGTAATCTCATATAAAAAAAGGTTTGTTCAATTGAATCAGCTAACTATTTAGTTCACCTTGAAAGATATAATATGTGATTCACTAGCTTAGGGTGGCTTTTAGAAAGTTTTACATTTGATTAAGGTAGGTCATTTAGAGGAGTATGAAATTAATGAGAGCTATAATTTATGCTAGTAATTTAAAGAAATTCTATAACTAGCACATCTAGCTAGATATACTCATCATCCATGATACAAAAAAAAAAAAAAAAATTATAGAGTTTAAACGAAGATTTTGATGGCTGAGATTGAAAAAAAGTACTGTAGTAGAATTATAACGAAGTATCTTACATGCCAAATGGTTAAAGCAGAACATCAAATGCAAAGTGAATGATTGCAACCTTTGCTAATACCATAGTGAAAACGGGAATGAATACTAATATATTTTGTGATTGGATTACTAATTCACAATATATCGTGATACTATGTGGGTGATTATAAATAAATTGACCAAGGTTGCACATTTCTTACCCATTAGATAGGGTGATTTTACATGTATTTGGATGATATTATACAATACATGGAGTGCCAAAATCTATAATATTAGAAAAAGATGATAAGTTAACATCAAAATTATGAAAGAAAATTCATGAAGCTTTAAATATTATACTAACTTTTAGTGCTCCATTACATCCTCAACCAAATGGCCATTCAAAAATGGTAATTCAAACCTTGAAAGATTTACTAGGATTATGCTTATTTGATTTTGATGAATATTGAGAAGTACATATATTGTTGATAGAATTTGCTTATAATAATAAATTTCAATTAAGCATTAGAATGACTCCATATGAAACTCTTTATGGATGAAAGTGCAAAACACCATTATGCATTATAAGATTCATTTGATAAGAGATATACTAAAGGCCGTATATGACAAGCAAGCAATAAAAATACTATGTTGCTAAGCGCAAATCGATGGAATTTAATGTGGGCGAGTTCGTGTTCATCAGAGTTAGTAATGAAATTTATTTAATATTTTGAAAAGATAGAAAAATTAAGTCCATGATATTTAATATCACATAAAATTATTTAAAGAATTAGAAAAATGTCTTGCAGGTAGGCATGCATTCATAATGTCTCCCACATCTCTACACTTTCGTGTATTTTATCGTAATATTTTTTAAACGAGCCGACTAACAAGCTAACGAGAGATTGACTCAAATTTATCTCTTTAGCTTATTAAACTAAGCTCGCCAACCATTTATCGAGCAGATCTTAACTCACGCCCCTAATCCTAGAGCATGAACCACACTACATTCATCCTTACATCTATTATTGAATTCACAAAATAATTAAAAAAAATACTTAGAACTGCCATTATCCTTAACCCCCTTCTTAAGCTGCAAGTGTTATTCTCTTCTAAAGGGATCGACTGAAGTTCATCACTTAGAAATGATCGATCTTAGCAGGACTCCTCTATTCAATAATCCAAAATCACCAGCAACCGCTCACCTCTCCTTAGTAATCATCTGTCTTTTCTTCTTGCCCTTCTTCGTCCCCACGGCTGTAGCCTGAGAATACAAGAATGTTCCAAAGATCGCCATGGCTGAACCGACAGCATTCAATGGCCTAACTGGATTCCTGAATACAATCACAGTGGCAATGATCACTACAACCCTCCTCATCGCATCACCAACTGAGAATCTTAGTGGACTAATCTCATCCAATGCCTGGTATAAAGTTTGGTTATATAGATGGTAGAACACGCCGGAGAGGAGAGCCCAAGTAAGGAACGACGACGGCGAACCAGCTGCTGCGATTGCCGTCTGGTAACCCTGCAGCCAGTGACGTCCCTCCACAATTACAGCAACAGGGATAAGGTAAAAGAGGGAGACAATAGAGATGCAGCCGTAGAGATTAAGCCCATCAATGTGTTTATAGTCGTAGAAGCTCTGCTTCGAATAGATATTCCGCAAAACGAAACAAGCATTGCTTACGAGAGCTCCCCATAGCCCTGCGGCGTTAAAAGATGCCTCTGTAACTGCGGCGAGGGCGCAGCCTGCAACGATTGGGATGACGGAGAGCCAAATGTGGATGGGGTAAAAGTGGTCGTGGAGAGCAGAGATGACAACAGAGAAGCAGGGTTCCGACGCATTGATGACTTGAATGAAGGAGACGGCGAGTTTGGTGAAGGCGATGCAGGCCGAGGTGTGGCCGATCGCGTGGAATAAGCCGGGGCCCAGCAGAGCGAGAAGGAACTTGCGGTTGACGCGGGGAAAAGGCTGAAGCTTTGTTGCCCAGAGTCCCGTCATCCAGAGAGAGCTCACCAGGAGATGAAACGAGGCGATTAGCCATGGGTACGGGAACAAGCCGAGAACTTTTTTGTTGTATACGTTAAAAATCACATTTTGGAAGCACCAGAGGCCAAAGACCGCCGCTAGTTTCACCGTATCGTTCTTTTTGGGCAGTTTTGCGGTGAGAGGTTTGTACTTGATGTGGCTAGAGGGATTCAGGTCTTCGTCGGCGTTGATCTTTCCCGGCGGTGGCTGCGGCACAGCCGCAGCTTTGAGTATTCCGACAAGACTTGTGGCCGAGGGTCTTTTGCGGAGAGCCAAGAGCGGGATATGGTGGGTAAAATTTTGGCTGCGCATGAGTCGGGTTTGCATTACGCACCCGTCTGGTCTGGGCGCGAAGGGGTGTAAGGTGTGGAAGGCGATCATGGCGTCTGCTGTAATTTATCTCTCTCCCTCTTCTCTTACTGTGCGTCAAGGTCTCCGCAGACGGCCATTTTATATTATATTTCTCCTGAAATGATGGGAGAGAGGAGTTAGAAATCATTAGTAAGCGGGAAATCTGTAATACCTCAGCATTTTAAGAACGTGGACGGTACCCCCGTTTGGAGATCTTCACAGCGGCATAAATCAATTGGGCGATGTATTTATTATTAAGGAATGATGAGCGCATAGGATCCATTGCTTCTTGTTGGGGTTCCCAGCAATGGAGATGGATGCTCATCGGCTTCTAAGATCAGATGATAGAGCTCTGATAATTCAGTTCGATTAATGAAGAAGCAATAAACTATTAAGAAAAATCACGTGAAACAGAAAGGAGTTAAAGTACCTTTGCATATATGGCTTAATCTACCGGCTTTTACCCATCCATGCTTAGTTTGGTTGGTGCTTGATTCCCTTCAAATGTCAGTGTCTCTTAAGTGCGGCCTAATCAGTGCGGGTCAGGAGATTTCTGTGGTGGGTGCCTCTTCTAGATTAGCTGAGAATTAGTCATGTCGTCAAACGCCCTTTCAGAGATGGCAGTGGGTGGATACCCGTTCCAAAAAAAAAAAAAAAAATCTACTGACTTTTTATAAATAAAACATTTAATATCAGGTAAATATTTTATAATATATTTTGTCAAATCATAAAAAAAAATTGTTTAGTATTCATGTAGTCTTGTGGAAGGAATAGTTTAGTAATATGAGCAAATTGAGTGTTATATGCTCAAATTATCTTCAATCCTTGTTTCAACTTCTTTAACTCGATTATATGCTTTTTTCACAGTATGCCACTGAGAATTATTACTGAATAAAAAGTCTCTTAAACTCTGCCTAGAGGGTAATTGTACTAGATTTAAAATTATTATATTACTAACTCTCTCACCAATCATTAGCATCTTCATCAGGATAAAATGTTGACATATTCACTTGGAGGTCTTCAAAATTCCTTAAACCTCAAATGTTTTTCTCAATGTCATGAAGCCAAGCATCAAATTCGATCGTTCCTATTATTCCATTAAATGTGGAGAGATGCGTCTTCAAGAATGATTCTATGTTGGGGAAATAAATGGTGCAACTAACACAAACAAGAAAGAAAAAATTATAATGAAAAGAAAGAACATTAGGATTTAGCGCAAGAAAACTCAAAATTAGGAAACAAAATCATGTTGTCACACCACGCAAAAAAATTATTCATGAAATATTGGGAGAAATGGCACATATCTCTCTTCTCTCTCACTCTCTCATTGTCTATCTTCACTCTTACATCATTCTCTCACAAGAACTAACAAAGTGATACACGATAAACCAACCAAGGAATGCAACCCTTCATGAAAAATGAGAAAGAAAAAGAAACATCCCGCCCCACAATGCCATGACTCTCCACTCTCTGACTTCAGTCTGTTTAACAACGTAGAAACACCGGGGTCTAGAGAGCTGCAGCGCTTCAATCTCTGTCTCTTGCCTAAGTCGTAGCACCACGATGCCGAGGTTTGGAGCATTTCTATGCTCCGTTCTCCGTCTTTCATCAACCTGGCAATATAATGCCACATCACTCGAGTATATAGTGTCACACCGAATTATGGTTGTACGATTTTTTTTTTCAGATGCAAAGCACTCAGGCCTAACCTCTAAAGTGTCATTTTTCATAGTGAGAAAAATAATTATTGCTTTTAAACTTCTACCTCTCATGATTTAGATAATGCTTTTTTATAAAAGCTTTCATTTACCTATATGTCTTCATTCTTGTGCTTCCGAATATTCTTCTTCTCACAAACATTGATCTCTATCTTTGCATGCATGGTTCAATCTACTAGCTCTTTATAGATAAAAAATTTGATATCAAATAAGTAGTTTAAGATATCATATGTCAAATAATAATTTTTTTTAAAATCATTTACTTATCATGTTGTCTTATGGAAAGAATAATCTAATAATACGAGCGAATTGAGTAATATACGCTCAAATTATCTTCAATCTTGCTTCAACTTCTTTGAATCATTTATATGTTTTTCACAAAATGCCACTGATAATTTGTGATGCCCTAGGCATCCATAGTGAAAGGATTCGTCTGACAGTCTTGATCAATCTCCAATCCTGCTGCCTTGCTCGGACCTGAAAATGTCATAGAGCTCTGATAATTCAGTTCGATTAATGAAGAAGCAATAAACTATTAAGAAAAATCACGTGAAACAGAAGGGAGTTAAAATACCTTTGCATGCATGTATGGCTCAATCTACTGGCTTTTTATAAGTAATTCATTTAAATATTTTATAATATCTTTTTTCAAATCATAAAAAATTTAAAATTGTTTAGTATTCTTATTGTCTTATGGAAGGATTAGTTTAGTAATATGAGCAAATTGAGTGTTATATGCTCAAATTATCTTCAATCCTTGTTTCTACTTCTTTAACTCGATTATATGCTTTTTCACAGTATGCCACTGAGAATTATTACTAAATAAAAAGTTTCTTAAACTCTGCCTAGAGGGTAATTGTACTAGATCTAAAATTATTATATTACTAACTCTCTCACCAATCATTAGCATCTTCATTAGGATTAAATGTTGACATATTCACTTGGAGGTCTTCAAAATTCCTTAAACCTCAAATGTTTTTTCTCAATGTCAAGATGTGTCTTCAAGAACGTTTCTATGTTGGGGAAGTAAATTGTGCAGCGAACACAAACAATAAAGAAAAAATTATAATGAAAAGAAAGAACACTAGTATTTAGTGTGGAAAACTCAAAATCAGGAAAAAAATCATATTGTCACACCACACTAAAAAATAATTTATGAAATATTGGGAGAAATGGTCATATCTCTTTTCTCTCTCACTCTCTCATTGTCTATCTTACACTTTTGCATCATTCTCTCACAAGAATTAGCAAATTGTTACACAATAAATCAACCAAGAAATGCAACCCTTCATGAAAAACGAGAAAGAAAAAGGACAGCCCGCATCACAATGCCATGACTCTCCACTCTTTGACTCTAGTCTATCTAACAGCGCCGCAACACGGGGTCTAGAGTGCTGCAGTGCTTCAATCTCTTTCTCTTGCCTAAGTCGTAGCACCACGATGCCGAGGTTTGGAGCGTTTCTATGCTCCGTTCTCTGTCTTCCATCAACTAGGCAATATAATGCCACTTCACTCGAGTATACACTGTCATACCGAATTATGGTTGTACGAAAAAAAAAAATTTCAGATGCAAAGCACTCAGGCCTAACCTCTAAAGTGTCATTTTTCATAGTGAGAAAAATAATTATTTCTTTTAAACTTCTACCTCTCATGATTTAGATAATGCTTTTTTTATAAAATCTTTCATTTACCTATATGTCTACATTCTTGTGCTTCCTAATATTCTTCTTCTCACAAACATTGATCTCTATCTTTGCATGCATGGCTCAATCTACTAGCTCTTTATAGATAAAAAAATTGATATAAAATAAGTAGTTTAAGATATCATATGTCAAATAATAATTTTTTTTAAATCATTTACTTTTCGTGTTGTCTTATGGAAAGAATAATCTAATAATACGAGCGAATTGAGTAATATATGCTCAATTTATCTTCAATCTTGCTTCAATTTCTTGGAATCATTTATAAGTTTTTCACAAAATGCCACTGAGAATTATACTCTAAGAAAACATCTTAAACTCTACCTAGAGGATTATTATATTAGATCCAAAATCATTATATCAATAACTCTCTCGCCAATGATTAACATCATTATAAAGATAAAATGTTTCCATATTAATATTGTCAGGCTGATTTAAGTGATGCTTTTTAAGGGTTTTACATAATTATTACTCTAAGAAAACATCTTAAACTCTACCTAGAGGATTATTATATTAGATCCAAAATCATTATATCAATAACTCTCTCGCCAATGATTAACATCTTTATAAAGATAAAATGTTTCCATATTAATATTGTCTAGGTGATTTAAGTGATAATATTAGCCACTAAATTGACAAGAGCAATAGCATCAATAGTTAAGGCTTCATCATTCGCAACCATTTGACTAGCTACAATAAATTGATTAGTAGAATGATGACCTCTATGAATTGATGTGGGTTCCTTAGCATCTCTTTGGCCACATCTACTATGATCAGTGGCATCACCTTTCTTTTGGACACCATTATATATTAATAAAATAAAATAAATTATATAAATATGTAATATATAATTTGATATATATAGTAATTCAAAAAAATCTAAGTAATATATCTCACCGTTCTGTCCTAAGAAACTAAAGGATATTCACTACAAAAAAAAAACTCTATTATACTATTATGTCATACCACAAGTATTTCATATATATATAATGCTAGGGTGTCAATTTTTGATAGTTAAGTATTTGAAATTAAATAATATTGTAGTCAAAATTTTCACATTACACACATCTAAAACATACTATAAATTAAATATTTTAATAAATTGAGAAAAAATATATTTTATCAAATTTATGAGGAATAAAATTAGAGAAATCAAAATCATCAAAAATAGGAGTAGGATTCAAGTTACCTATAATGATCAAAAGAAATCTCAAAATAGAATTAATTTAAGAAAATGTTTGGAGTAACCTCTCTCTGTTCTCTCTCCTCCCCTCTCTCCCAGTGAAACCCCCTAAGCCAATCTCTTAAAAAATGATGTGCCTTTTGGTGTAATAGTTGAAATTTTATTTAAGAAACTTCAAAGTTAAGCATGATGATCCTCGAGAAATTCTGGGATGGGTGATCTTATGAAAAGTTACACTAGCAGGATAAACCATGAGGCTCTTAGGTTAAAGCGGACAATATCTCGATAGTTAAGTATTTGACCTATTACAAATAGTATTAGAGTAATATACTAACCGAAAGATGAGAACTGAGTACCATATAAGACAGTGCTACACCATGGAAGTCATCTCTTGAACCATGTATGGGATAAAGTGCTACATGGCCTGAGTCTCCACTTGAACTTGTAAGAGACACCTCTAAAATCCTATCTGCCATGTGGATGATTTTTGAATAAAGATGCTGATGAGGAAGTCAGTTACTTAAGTGGGAAAGATTGTGAAACCCCTTAAGTAAAAGAAGCCAATCTCTTAAACATCAAGGTGTCTTTTGGTGTAATAGTCAGAATTTCATTTAAGAAACTCTATAGCTAAGCATACTCATCCTGAAAAAAATTTGGTATGGGTGATTTTCTGGGAATTTATACCAACAGGATAAAACCGTGAGGCTCTTAGGCCAAAGCTGATAATATCTAGGTAGTTAAGAGTTTGGGCTGTTATACTCCCCTTTCATCTCCTTTTTTTCCACGGCAAGCTAATTGAAATGAGGCAGATATGGGGTAGTGTTGAGGTTGTAAGGGATATTTAATATTAAATATTTTTAAAATATGATTCAATGCCTAGCACTATGGCGCCCAACTTTCCAGCATCTTTACAATGCATGTTAAACCTAAAGTTACTATACAACAAAGACTTTAATATCATGATGGTGGTTTCTGAAGCTCAGCGCACCTATGCCACTGCACTTTCCAACATAGTGTCGCAGCGCAAAAATCCAAAATTTAAAACTTTTAAGATAATTTTATTTTAAAAATTTTGGGTTATTACAATGTATAACGTATTTTTATCTATATGACATCTCATGTATAGCAATCTATCTATCATATCAAGCAAGTATTCTTCACCTATTCCATGCATATCCTACATCATTAATACATGTATATCATATTCTATATCAAAGGAGATGTATCATGTATATCATATGTTTCATGTGTATCATATGCCCTTTTATCAGTGTTATCATATGAATTTATAAGACATGTATTATATCATATCATATTATAGCATATTACTTATATAATTTATAATATATGCTTGTGTCATATGCATATGCTATAATTCAATTTTAAGCAAGCCAGGATATCTAGCTACTTGTTGTATTTTTTATATCCAAGTCTTATATGTTCTTCAAACAAAATATGAGTCAGTCTCAATCATATCAGTTATATTGCTAAGAATCAGTCTCAAATCATATGTCACAAGTGATGTGATTTTCATATAAGAAGTCATCACTTTCTATCCATCGATGTATCATATCATATCAGTTGATCTCCTTTATTTATTTTTTTTTTAATAATATATTTATTTTTATTTTTTTATATTAGTTGATCTTCTTATATCTCTCTTTTCATATTACTTAGGATAACACTATAAACTATATTTAAAGGAAATCTCATTGACCCACCTTCCTATACACAATAATATATCTCTAGCCAACCTAAATCAGCTAATTATTTCCAACCTTTTTTTTTCTTTTACACGCATTTTTTATCATGTCTTATAACGACAAACATCATGCGCACATCATATACAATTATTATAGCATATAGATCTATTTAGTGTTATTAATGGTAGGTATGTATTATGTAAAAATGCATGTTAGACCAAATGCATGGTAAATTAATACATATCATTTGCTTCATATCTATATTAAGTACACTGACGCCATATCATTTCATACTTAGTATTATTCCCCTTATTTTCAATAAAATGATATATATGCAAAACTAAGTGGCGAAATTTCAATATATATCAATCAAAATATTCAGGACAATATCTACCACATATTAAAGTTACATAATAAAAGTTTATTAGAATGCGAGATAATGTATTTTAATAAATTTTATGAGAGAGAAAGATAGACAAAACTCAAAATCATCGAAAACATGAGTAGGGTTAAGGTTAACTATCACGATCAGAGCAACTTTTGCAACTGGAGTGATAGAAAATAATAACTTGAACCTTTCTCTCTCTCCTCTCTCTTCTTCTCTCCCCTAACGACATGCATATCAAATGGGGGAGGGGTTGAGTTAGGAGTGTTTTAATGTAATGGTTTTACATATTTTATTTTTTAAAAAAATTAGACCCAACGTAGTAGCGCTCAAGAACCCCATAGCCACAACGCTCACTCAAACCCTTGTAAACTTGAGAGCTTGACATCGTAGCGCTCACTCAGCCAAATTTTCATATTTATAGGAATTTCAATGAATTTAAAATTGAGGCTATTACATTCTACGTAAAAAATTTAGGCACTAACTCATAGAAATTCAATGATACTCAAAGTAGTAATCCTTCTGAGGACCCACTAACTCAACAAGTGAGATCCGGAAGGATTCTAATGACCTATATACTTATTGCAAAATAGCATTCACTTTGTGTAGGTGCTTAACTTTGCTCAATAATTAATATGACTAATGCTAGCTTCATAATAAAAATAAAATTTTCATAAAATAATATTTTTTCTATTCTATTAAGGCTATATATATATTTCATTTCAATGTTAAGAATTTATAGCAAACTTAATCAAGACAAAGCTATCTTTGCATATGATATTATGTTATGAAAGTTAAATAAGATTTGCAAAATATGTGCAACAATAACTGAATGTAAAAGGCATGTTTGACAATCTTTTAAATATCCAAGAAATCTATTATAAGTATCAATTATAGAAGCCATAATAAGGAAGGATATGTTCTCTAGCAAATAAAAATTACCAACCTCAAAGTGAGCCATATGAAACCCAATTTAATTGAGATCCCTGCCTAATTATAATATATAATCTCAATCAATTACACACATAATAAGCATAAAAAACTAGTAGTAAGTTGATGTAATTGCAACCTATCTAACAAATGCAACACCTCCATTAATATGGATTAATTAACACCAATAAGGAAAAGTCCTAATTTTTTAAATTTCACCATATAGATTGACCTAACTTTATGGTCTCAATCTTGATTTGTACAATTTTATTATCAAATAAGTAATCTAGAACACCTAACAAATTTTAAACTAATTTAATCTTGCATAAATAATCTCCTCTTAACGAATTGAGTGAAAGATGACAAAGTTGAAGTGCATCAATAATAATGAAGGGAAAGGAATAGAAGACATGGAAGAAAAAGAGGAAGACAGTTCAAAGTTGCAACTTTGAGGCTCTTGAATGAGAAAGAAGGAGACAAGGAGATTTGGAGATTACGTGGGGATGATCATATGCGATGCTCTAGCTATATGCTTCTTTAATCATTGATGAGAGGCAAAGAGGAGTGCACTATTCCTAAGAAGATTATGGGTTGAAGCAACATGGCAAAGTTACATGCAAAATATGAAAGCGATCCGGGGCTTGTGAGAGAGATTCGAGCAGGTTGGGTTAGGGGTTTGGATTGTGTGAAGCAGGTTTGAAGGTTATTGATCTGGTTAAGCATGGCTCAATTAATTATAGTTGATCTGTGAATGAGAGTTCATGATGGGAGTCGCCACATGAAGGCGTCGATGAGATTTGTGGATGAGTTAACCATAGGAGCTCATTCTGAGAAAACATCAACATGTGAAAGAACCGAGGAGTTCATGACATATGCTTATTAAGGGCATACATCGACAAGGCCAAGGATGTGTAAAAGAGAAGAATTCATAAATCAAACCAAGGTTTCAAACATAGTTCTAGCCTATTCAAACCTTTCAAATCAGTTGGAATTTGAACCTATTTCAAATGGCCTATGAGTGCAATGAACAGTCTAAGAATGCATAAGTGCATCCTTAATTTAGGGTGAAGTCCATTAAAATAGACAAAATATTTCTGTACTTGTAATATAGCGATGAACCGAGTGAAAATAATAAGAGATTTGATCAATTGACATGCAGAGAGAGAGAGAGAGAGAGAGAGAGAGAGAGAGAGAGACTTTGCTCTTGAGTTGATTCAAGACAGACTTGCTCTACCTGCCCAAAAATTCTACAGGCTCCGCCACTGTTGGACTTAAGGAGGCGCCCGGCGTCTCCGCGTTATTTTTCCATTCTAGAAGCGACGACGCTGATCAATGATGGCGGAGCAGAAACCAGGGGGTGGAGGGATGGGCGAAGGCTCGAAAGAAGTGGTCACCGCTGGCGATTCGGACGGTGATATGCATGAAGGTGAAGTTTGATCGCTTTTCGTCCTTGTACCAATTGCTTTGTTCAAGCGTTATTTTTCTCGATCTTGCCTAAATTTAGATGGAGGAAGCAGGTCTGCATGTTGTTTCCTTTGCTTCTAGGAGTATGACCGTTCTCTCGGTTCTTTTCTGTGGTTGCATCATGATTGGTTTTGGTTTTGGCTGATGGATGCTTGATGAGAGCTTAGGTAGGATGTTGGTTTGGATCATATGTTCATTTCTGTGATATGTTTCTCAAGGTGAGAGATTTTGGAGCTCGCAGAAGTTGATATGTGGAGAATTTCGGGTTTTTGTGGTTGTGATCTGCTATGAATTGAGATGTTTTTTATGGTCTTTTTTATTTTCTCGTACTTGAGGATTAGCTCTTAATGTGCCGTCAGATTGTAGGCTTCTGATGGCTAATTTGTCATTGAATGGAAGGAAGGAGCAAGTTTTTGTTGGGGCTTCTTGCGGGCAGCTAGTGTCGGTAGGTTTTCGGCTGTCTTGAAATTAGGTGTTAAGAACACGTTGTTTTGTTTTTATCTTTCTACTTTGAATTTCAAGCAGTTTTAGGGTGAAATTTTGTGGTATTTGATTGTCAAGGTTTAGGTTTTGCCCTCCTTAAAAAATGGAGACATAAGTTAGCAAAATAAATATTTTCATAATGTGATTCATGATAATCCAAAAAATTTTAATGTTAATATTGGTGAGGTGGAAGATATCTATCAATTATATTTGTTAATGTAAATATGCCAAATGGGATGATTCGATGAATTTGTGACCTATGTGAAAATATGATCAATTTAAGCATACACAATTCAAGTTTTATTAGCTATTTCTTAGAGGCTATTTGGTTTGAAGCATAAGGGGTGTTAAGTATTTTAAATGCAGGGGTTTTGGAAATATTAGCGTTTGGTCAGAAGTAAAAGAAATGCAGAGTAAAATTTTAAAGTATTTGAAATTTACTCTCTAGTTTAATTTTAGTTAATTTGGAATCATTAGATTTTGCCAATTTTCAAACCATCGCTGTTGTTGTCTGTCACTCTCCTAGTTGTTTCCATTGACACAACCTACCGCCCATCACCAATCACTACTCACCTTTGCCAGCAACCATTTGTTGCCTCCACCATTGCCGCCCGCCACTGACTATTGCTCATTGCTGCCCGATGCCTGACGCCAACCACCGTTCGTTGGTGTTGTTGCCACTATTGATTGTTGCTCAACGCTGACTGTTGTTCACTACCAGTTGCCATTGCCATCGCCAATCCTGCTAGGCCGCTACCTCTGTCTCCATCGTTGGGCTATATAGTACTTTGAGTCAAACAAAAAAAGTATCACATGCATTTATTTTATATTCATCCAAACAATTTCAAATATTTCAAATATATTACATTCCTTTTATATAGTATTCCATTTTAATTTGAATTCCTTTTTCATACTAGGAATGCCTCCTTAATTTAATTAAAGTGTCAAAAATATACAGTCAACTAAGTCTAGGTTATAATGTGGGTGTAAGCAGATGCAACTCTATTTGAAAATCTCATAAATTTATTGAATACAATACCAATTAAAGCATGCGATAAGATTTAAATAATTTTCAGTATAGGCTCTTAAATCTTAGTTATATGCATGCCACAAGATTTTCTCATTTACAGCAAAATTTATTCCAAAATTTTCAAATTGAAGTCATATGTATTAATCGTAGAACACCTTCAAACATTTTATTTGAATTTGTTGTCCTTTAGGAAAGTGATTTTAATCTCATGTGCAGACAATTTAATTCAAAGAAGATGGATGCATAGAAAATTTCTCTTTTTGCTCTCATTTTCTTTCCTTATTTTTAGTGGAAGTAGCCTTTTGAAGAATGAAGTGCTAGAGGTGCATGCAATATTTATGAGAGGCATGGTACAAGTTTTATATTTGAATTTAAATAGGGATAGGTTGTTTTGGATTTGAATTTGACATGGTTTCTTAAGGTTAATGATTATTTAGGTTTAGATTGGTTATGGATGGTTTTTATTAGGAAGGAACATAAACTTGGATTTGTATTGGAGAAGGTTATAGGGAGGAGTGATTAAGATCAATGGAATGAGTTTTCAACGTGATGGTTTTTTGTGAGGAGAGACAAATATTTTAAGAGGTGCGTGTATGAGTAGTATTGTTAATGGTAGAGGGAAGAAATAAAATGGAATATGATGACAATGATGAAAGTCATGAAGAAACTATTAAAGAAGTAATTTAATAAAAATTAATGAATTTTGAATTAAATTTAGAAAATCTGTATACAAAATGATTCAAAATATTGCTTTTGATGTTAATTTGGTATAGGACATGATGGAGTGTTTAAAAAATTATAATAAGATGAAATGGTTGAAAATAAAAGTAAAACTAAAGAGGAAAAAAAAAGGTAACCTCATGCCTCGAGCTTGAATGAGGATATTACACATTTGATGAGTTTTGAGTCTCACGTCTGATTAAGGATCAAAATCTTGAAATAGAATGATGACTTTTTTGGCAAGGATTTGAATCTTGGAATGGATTTGAATCTTGGAACGTAGAGATCAACAACAATACCACTTAACCAAGTGGTTGGTGGCAATCGATGACGAAGAAGAACATTAGATTAGAATATTATACCAAGAATTGTCTTACATAAATCTATGTGCTCTAATTATATTGTTGTGGGTCTTCAAAAGGATTCTGTTCGCGGGAAACGAATTCAAAGAGTACGACCGCACTATCCCATAGTATAAAACGATCGTAGACCTTTACATTCTACAAAAGCAGGCAAATGAGAGGGCAAATGGGATTATACATACAATTAACCATGGAGGATAGAGGCTTTTGCCTACATATCTCGATGGGTAATAATATTTATAACCCAAGAGTAACGAGATTTCCCTCATTCGATACATAAGCTTAAATAGGGTTTATTTGATGTTGGGATCGGTTTCCCACGGGCACACAAACCCACGTGCTTAATTACATCTTAGACCTTGGCCTAAGAAAACTCTTGATTAAGGATTATATATTATTCTCTCAGATGGATTTGACGCATAGGGGGAATTTCTAGGCTCTCCTAATCCAAAGGAAAAGATAAGCTTAATTTGGCTTAATTAACATGCATGGATCATATCAACACTCGACCGGTCTAAAGAAGGGAAAACTGGAGAAAAAGATAATTTCATTCAAGCATGTACGAGAGAAAGATGGAGGCGAGGGGGGGGGTCCGGCTTTGCTGGTCGCACAAGAGAGAGGAGAGGGGCGGACCTCTTCCGTCTGGGACATGCGAACGAGAGAGAAAGGAAGGGGGGCTCGGGGTTCCTGGCGTCCGCAAAAAGGGAGAGACGGAGAGGGAAGAGAGGTCTAAAAAATGGAGAGAGATGTGTGAGTTGCAAAATGGAGTTTGGCCTCTGTTGATCTCGAGAGCATGAGAAGATAGAGAGGGAGAGTTGCGAACCTCGGAGATAATTCTGTTGCTTCGCCCTCTCTATCCCATCTCTATACATCGAATAATGCCTTGCCATGCTCGATCACTATGAAAACAAGGCTGCATCTATTTGAAATGGGTAACTCACGCGATTGAGGCACTGTAACGACTGCAGGTTTCAAATTTCGGGGAGATCAGCACTGTCGATGCAATTTCCTGATCTAGTAAATAAATTCAAATCATTTGGAAAGTCAATGGATCTTAATGGGATTGAATTGGGCTAAATCAGGTCAAGTTTGGCTAAGACCGGGTTAGATTCGACTCAACTAAAGTCGATTTGAGTCTAATTTGATTCCACTAATTTAATTATATAAAATCAAATCCAAAATTGACATCAATTCGAGTTAACTTGGGCTCAACTTGACTCAACCAAACTAACAAAATTAAACCTAAATTAATCGCCGACTCAAGTTAAATCGAACTCGATGCAGCTAAGATGAATGGATCTAATTTAATCGAATGTGATCGGGTCTAATTTAACCCAATTTCGAGCCGATTCAAGTTCGATTGAATTTTCATCAAGTCGATTTCAATGGAATCGAATTTGAATCAACTCAATCAGACCTAAATCGGCATTAACCTGAATTAAACTAGGCTCGACGAGACTCAACTAGCCTGATCGAACACACTCGAGGGAACAACGCGATAAAAACGAGGTCAACAATTACAAAGGAAATGATAAATTGTTAACAAATTGCTGGACACATGGGCATAGACATTATAACTTTGATAGTCGTTGAAATGACTTCCAAATCTCCTTGCACAAACATAAAATAATGGCTTTGAAAATCGGACCGAACCGGCCAGTTCTATTAGTTGAACTGTGAACCGGTTATATGGCCCGTTCGGTCTGCCTTGAAAATCGGCTCAGTATCAAACCGGTGTGAACCGGTTTGAAAATTGGCTCACGTTTTTTAAGAACAGTCCAGGTCAATTGATATCTTATTTAAATAATTAAATAAATGAATTTAATATAAAATATTTAATTAAATATCAATTAATAAATTAATTTAACTGCAATATATTTTAATTTTACAATTTATCTTAAAATTTATAGAATAATTATTTATCATATAAGCACCAACACAACATGCCCAGTTTATCCCACCATCCCATGTGAGCTCTTAATGCATGAAAATAAAAAAAGTTATATAAACAAAACAAAATAAAACTCTTAAGTGATGTGGGATTGAATAGTTTAGTTGAAATTTTCTACTTCAAAACACATACTTATATATTTTTAAACATATATTTTTAATTATTTTTTTACGTACTGAAGAATAATATTTATTTTTTTGGTTAATTATATTTAATTGTTTATCTATTTTATTTATTAATTTTTAAATATACATAATTAAAAATTAATTTTTATCTATTTATTATTTATAAACAATCTAATATTGAATGATTAATAGATGTTAAAATTATAATGTAATATTTAATATATAATTTATGGTTGTAAAATTTATCTAAATGTATAATATAAATTAATAATAATTTATATTAAATTTAAA